TACAAGCAAGATCTCTACTGAAAAAAAGAACTGACCCAATTTGCCATACAATGGGCACGTCAAACGAAGAGATGGTCTCAACGGAACAGAACCTGAACCCACTCTGCTTTGAATGTGGCCAGCAGCACTGGACAAGAGAGAATCACTTGTACAATTATCAGAACGAGGTGGACGATGATTTGGTTTGCCATATTTGCCTTCAGCCCTTGCTACAGCCATTAGACACGCCTTGTGGTCACACATTCTGCTATAAGTGCCTACGAAACTTTTTGCAAGAGAAGGATTTCTGTCCCTTAGATCGCAAAAGGCTCCATTTTAAATTGTGCAAAAAATCTAGCATCCTTGTTCACAAACTGCTTGACAAGCTCTTGGTGCTGTGTCCCTTTACTTCAGTGTGCGAAGAGGTAATGCAGAGATGTGACCTGGAAGCACACCTGAAAAACAGGTAAATAGTGAGAGAATGCGCCTAATCAACTTTATTATTATAATTATATGCTACTTGCCTGCCTGCCTGCCTGCCTGCCTGCCTGCCTGCCTGCCTTCATATAGTTTGTTTCCTTCCCATTCTGTCTCCTCTTTGGATATTATTTAAAGGTGATGATAAATGAATGGCGGAAGATCAGCCTTGTGCTTCTTAATAAAGCAAAATGAAAGGAGGGTGAAACTATCTCTAGGACTGTTGATGTTTTACAGCTGTCTAGCCCTATGTATGCATTCTGTTTGGGTGAAAAATCATGTGATAAGGAAGAATCTTTCTCTCTTCCTTTTGATTGTCTGAAATGTAGACATAGAAAAGATTCTCTAACAGAATTGGCCCTCCAAAATGTGGTTAATAGGGAGAATAATGGAGCTAGTCTACTTGAATTTGCTCTCCTATCTTTTAAACAACCAATGAAGCACATCAATTAATTAAATTAAATTATTCTCATTTTTCTTTCTCTTTTGACCCTTTCCTGTCAAAGATAAGTAAAATCCTATTTTTCTGGAGTAAAAATCGGTGACAGTATCATGCTCTGGATTGCAAAGTAATAAACAAGGTGGTATCAAACCATGAGGGTGCCCACACAAAGAGAGATCTCTACTCTACAAGCTGTTTATAAATCATGAAAAAAATTCTCATAGGACTCAAGGGATGGTTAAAGATAATGTGAAATATGAAATAGGTGTTGGGAGGTTCAGGAAAAATGGAATAATTGTTCGTAGTTGCTTGGAGCTAGCTACTACTATAGCATCTATCTGATCAAACTGCTATCCAGTATTAATTGTCCTCTTCCTAGAAAACCTTCTTTCCTAACTTTTGGCTCTTCATTGCCTCCCAGCCCAACTTAGTACATAATTGTAGCAGAAAAAAAATAGAGGAACAGATACTGTGCTTGAAAGTTTGATTACTCCAAAGAAAGGCAGCGTTATAAATCTAAAAGATAAAAAAGGTAGACATTTTGCTTGGCAAATTAGTCAGATGTGGACTGGGACTTTAACATCTTTACCTCTGGATGAGGTGCAGTACCCCAGACAGACCTGATCTATAACTTGGGGGTTCTCCTGGACTTATGACCCCTGTTCAAAGAACAGGTGGCATTTATGGTTAGGAGAACCTTTGCATAACTGCAAATTGCAGCCTTTCCTGGATCAAGAGTCCCTGACCCTCTCAGGTCACACAAGCCCTAATCATCTCATGTCTAATGTCTATTGGAATGTGCTCTACCCTTGAAGAACAGCTGGAAGCCTATAATGGCACAGAATGCAGCAGTGCAAGCAATTCTTAGAGCCACTACACTGGCCCATGTTATACCACTGCTTCGAAAGCTGCACTGCTTACTGATCTGCTTCCAGGTGCAATTCAAGGTTAAAGCCCTGCATGGCATGGGTCCAATCTACGTGAGGAACTATGTCATCCCGATGGGACTGACCCACCCTACCTGCACCAGTAGAGGGAGCATATTGTGGATCCTGTCAGCCAAGTTATGTCAACTGGCAAGATCCAGAAGAAGAGCCATCTCTGCTATGGCTAACCCTAACCCTCTGGAACGTCTACCCCGAGGTGAGATTGGCCTCCTGAGATTTCATAAGAGCTTTAAGAACTGGCTGTGCCAGATGGCTTGAGCACCCAATGGGGGAGCTTCACACCAGAGATGTCAGGGAGGTGGGATTAGATTTTAGTCAATTACTCTCTTCTTTGCCATCTTGTCTCAGTGATTGTATCCGTTAAATGTTTTTATCTGCTATGTTTTTTACAGTGGATGATTTTAATGTTTTTCAATGTTTTTATGCTGTAGCGGTCCAGTGTTGTTGGATACAAGAAATGGTAGCAAGTAAATTTTATAAATAAATGGACTGGTTATGCGTAACTCTAATAAATGATAAATTGATTATACAATTTCAGCTTTGAAGGAACAATCCCCAACTGCCCATTTGAGGTCCCCACTGAACACTGATAAGTTTAATGATCTGTGATATATTAATATCACAGATAATATAGTAAAACCTTTGGGTGTCAAGACGGCTAACCATATCCACAGCAAAGTGTAATTGTTGTTCGCCACAGATCTCGCTAATTCAACTTTGGACATCTAAAGGACTTCAAATATATAAATATAATGTATATAAAATTAAAAAAAAATCCCAAATCAGCCAACATTCCCAAGCACACCATTCAACCAATAGCATGGACTTGATTACTCTCCCAACCCGTGCCTGGGAAAACACCCAGATCTGAAAGGCAAGCAGTGCCAGGGCCAGCTGAACGTCAGGTGTAGGGTGTTCCAGAGAGCAGGTGCAGAAAAGGCATGCTTCTTGGTTCCATTAACTCCATAATACATAAAATCTGGAGTATGTCCTCTCCTGCCCAACCTAATGTGATGGGTAGAAATTATGCTGAAATAATGACAAGCGCATAATGATGTCATTGAGCAAATGGAACCATTATGTATTTTTGTTTTGATATCTGATGCAGAACATAGGTTTGGACGTTTGTGTGGTGATGTCACAAATGTCATTTTGCTCTGGTTCCGAGCAGTTATGAAATCAACTAAATATGTTTTTATTGCTTTGAGGACTTCATTTCTTCGAAATGCGAGGCCAAAGATTTCTTCTTTTGTAATATATTAGTTCAGTGATGGCAAACCTTTTAGAGACTGAATGCCCAAACTGCAACTCAAAACCCATTTATGCACCGTTGGGTGCCGGGTGGGCGTGGCCCATTGTGTGGGCGTGGCTGTGGTGGTAACAGCAGACTGGGTGGGACTAAAAAGTTCAATCAATCACTTCTAACTTTGCAAGATCTTTTTTTTTCCCCGAAAAGTTGAAATTACTGATTGAACCTTTTTTTTTTTTTTTTTTTTTGCACACAGCAGTGGATGCCTAAAGTGAAAAGGTTTTATAAAACCCAGCTGAAGGCCTAGGACTGGGGCGATGGTGCACGTGTCCACAGAGAGGGCTCTGAGTGCCGCCTCTGGCACCCGTGTCATAGGTTCGCCACCACTGTGTTAGTTCCTTGACTTACAGAAAATGAAAACAAAACAAAATCTACAGCTGGCCAGAATAGTCAAAAGCATGTACATATGACCCTTCCCTTCCCTTCTTCATTTCTGCTATACCAGAATTCCTATGAAGGTTACTTACCTTTTCTGAACTTAAGACCAAGATCATTTTTCTAACTTTTGTTTTTCCTTTCTTTTTTTAAAAAAGCAAATCATGGCAATAAGAAAGAGTGCTGAAAGTACTCATAATCATTCTTAGTAACAAATACTGGTGGACCACCAGCAATCATTTCATATAGGAATCACCAAAGAAGAGAATATTTGTAGCTCAGGGTTGAACTGTAGAGACCTTGTACTTTCTGAGCTTTATTGTTTATAGAGGTTTCATTACCCAGCTAGGTAACATCATCACTTTACAATGCTTTGGTAAGGCCAAATTTGGAATACTGCATCCAGTTTTGATTACCACGATGTAAAAAAGATGTTGAGACTCTAGAAAGAGTACAGAGAAGAGCAACAAAGATGATTGGGGACTGGAGGCTAAAGCATATAAGGAACGGCTGCTGGAATTGGGTATGTCTAGTTTAATGAAGAGAAGGGCGAGGGGGGACATGATATAGCAGTGTTCCAATATCTCAGGGGCTGCCACAAAGAAGAGGGAGTGAAGCTATTCTCCAAAGCTCCTGAAGGCAGGACAAGAAGCAATGGGTGGAAACTAACCAAAGAGAGAAGCAACCTAGAACTAAAGAGAAACTTCCTGATGGTTAGAACAATTAACCAGTGGAACAGCCTGCCTCCAGAAGCGGTGAATGCTCCAACACTGGAAGTTTTTAAGAAGAGACTGGACAGCCATTTGTCCAAAATGATATAGGGTTTCCTGCCTGAGCAGGGGGTTGGACTAGATGGCCTCCAAGGTCCCTTCCAACTTATTATTATTATTATTATTATTATTATTATTATTATTATTTTCAGTGTGATTGAGTGTGAGATTTGCACCCTGTTAATATGCAGTAGCTTGCCCTGCCAGTTTTGGATGTGGTTTTTTCCTTGATAATTCCTTGTTTAGGGCATTGTTTTCTGTTTTTAACAGTAACAGGGAGCAAACCCTATACTCACTCACATTGATGATACTATCAAGTTGGGAATGAAACCCCCGCAAACAAACAACAAAGCTCAGAGGGTACCAAGTGCTCAACTGAAGTTCCAGAGTCTGGAACCTCTATAAAAAAATTGTATATGTGAAGAAATTTGGAAGATCTGAATGCAAAGGACGTTCATGGCATTGGCTAGTTCTCTGTGCAATATCAATATTGTAGCAACAAGCCTTCCTGTTATAGTCAGATTTTTAAAAATTATAGCTCCCATCATTTCCACTCAGCACAATCAATATTCAGAGGTGATCAAGCGGCATCCTATGGTGGGGTGTATATTACATTACTTTATATGACTAAAGATAGTTATTTTTTTTTTCAAGCATCTGTTCCCTGTTTTTATGATAATATAGAAGCATTTCTTCTCTAGATGTGCTGGGGTTTCAAATCGAAGAGCTGCCTTGGAAAGAAGGATAAACAGCAAATTGCAGGCAGCCACCGAAAGTGAAAATGAAAATGCCATGATAGATCATCTGGACTCCCAGTCACCTGAAGCAGAGCATGCTGGGACTGGAATGGCATCAATGGAGCAGAACATGACATCAGCGACAGTTTCGGTGTGGACAGATGAGTCTGGGCTTGATAACCCTGCTTTTGAGGAGAACATAGGAACTGAGAGTGAGTTTAGTTTTCTTTTTAGTATTCGGTTTGATCGGTGCACCTTAAAATGTAAACTTTAAGAAATCTTAAAATCAGATTTTATCCTGGCCTGCAACCAAATAACCTGTTTTCCTACTGTATCTATGTATATGTATGTAACTTACATGCTACCCATCTCATCTAGAGGCGACTCTAGGCAGCTTACAATCAATATAAACAGCAAGGTAGAACATTAAAACAACCAAAAGTATTCTATAAACTTTGTTTATAGAAACTTTGAGAATTAATTAGAGCTACATAGAACAAATGCTTCTGTTAACAATAACCAGGAGGGCTTTTTTTAAAAGTCCTATTTGGCCTCAGCTTTCTTGTTACAGTCAGTTGAATGATTGTGACAACAGTTTTTGATCTTCAAAACTTGGGAGGTACAATTTGCTCAGCATCAGGATCTGGAGAGCTCCATGCCTATGTTGGCATTTATACCAATATTTTATAAAACGAAAAGCATTTACACCAGTGACATGCTGCATATGCACAACATCAGTTTTAACCTATTGTGTTATTTATATATTCATATGAACGGCTCTGATATCATTTTAGTGCAGTGGTTCTCAACCTTTTTAATGCCGTGACCCCCCAACCAGTCGTAAGTTGAGGACTACTCAACCGGTCGTAAGTCGAGGACTACTCAACTGGTGCAGCACCGTTTGCAGAATGGGACTTTTGGCGGGCTCAGCAAGGTAGAGACAGCCTGGACAATTCCTATTGGCTTTTGAAAGCCAATAGAATTAGACTCTATTCAAGAGAGTCTGTTCTATTGGCTTTCAAAAGCCAATAGAATAAAAGGGAGTAGCACAGCTAAGGAAAAGAGGGGAAAAAATGGCGGACTGCGTTGTTTGGCGACCCCCGTGAAATGGTCGTTCGACCCCAAATGGGGTCCCGACGCACAGGTTGAGAACCACTGTTTTAGTTGGTGGCTATTTCAATTTTAAATTTGTCTAAACCAAATAATATGAATTTTCATTTGGCTTTCACATACATCGTGTTGTGAAACCATTTCCTTAAACTCCATCATGATTATCCCACATAACCTTATGAAACCTTAGAAAACTTATTTTCCAAAACTCCAATGAAGTGGCTCCATTATTGCTGTTAACATGTTGTCTTTCTGTGCCTAATGACTTTTTAAAACTTTTTAATTGTGACTCTTTTTATATATCTCTCTATATAAAAAGATATATATGTCTTTATATATCTTTGCTCTTTTATATCCTTGTTTGTATGCCTCCCAGGCCTTTGTGAGATGGGCAGCCATATAAATTGGATACACAAATAAATAAATAAAAGTTGGAGATTCTTGTTCTCCAGCACAAGCTGCTGAACGGCAGTCTGATAATTACTGGACTGCTTCTGGCTAGCCATGTAGTTATGGCAGGCCTGTTTTGGACTTTAGCAGCCTTCTTAGAAGCCTCTTTCAGGTGTCCCCCACATTAGCCAAATTACTATCAATTTGAGTTTGATTAAAAAGTCATGCAAGCTTGGTTTTAATTTGTTTTGACTTATGATATAACAGATTTTATTTTATTTTATTATTTTAATCTAGCAGCATGTTGCATTGAAAAATATATTTCTTTGTACATATTGACTTCTTTCCCAATTGGGCAGCAATCCATCAGCCATCAAGTTTACCGGAAGGTGAGATCACCACCATTGAAATTCATCGATCCAATCCTTACATTGAATTGGGAATTAGCATAGTGGGTGGCAATGAAACACCTTTGATCAACATTGTTATTCAAGAGGTTTATCGTGACGGGATCATTGCCAGAGATGGAAGGCTCCTTGCTGGAGATCAAATACTGCAGGTATATATCTGATTATATATTCTTCTCAACTCTGGTGTGTCTAGATTGTGCAGCTATATATTAGATGATGAGTAAGCAAGAAAGATTTAATGATTTCCTGGCACAATGTTGGAATTTTCTATTTGGCATAAAAGTTAATGTATAAGTTTATGGCCAGAATGTGCCATAACTCAAGCAAAGAGAATAAGCTTTTTCAGTAGCTCTATTCTCGATTTAACAGGATTTTATTTTTTTTATACCCTGGAGTTCATATTTAATATATGTTTCAGCAAAAAAATAAGGAAATCAGGATGGTTGCTTATTCCTTCTTTTGTGAGTGATATGAAATACTTCCATTATCTGTAGACCTCTGTATAATACATTGGAAATTATAGCAATGTCAGTTTTAGTGGTCCAGTATGAATTACAGTTGCTGATTTCTAAAGCTCTCTGCTTCCAACCCCCAGTGTACAAATCATATTTCATGTCTTCCTTTTTCATAAAAATGCTAAGAGATTAAGATGAAATTAAAATCTGAGTTTTGAGCTGCCTTTGTGTGTGTTCATGCCTTCTCAAACTAGAACTAGGTCTTGCATTGTATATGTGAAAGAGGGGCCATGCAGGATGGAAAATCTTATTGGAGTTTTAGGAAATCAATTATGGAACTTTACAGTTATCAGTTCCTCAGGTTGATAACCTATTGGAAGGATGAATTCAAGCCCAGTCTTGCCTCCCCCAACAAATTCCTTTCTGTACTGTTCCTTCTTTTTCCTTCCCCAGAGAATTTGTCTTAAGCACGATAAGGCAAAGGCACAGCGATTGTCTTTCTGAATGGCACCATTGCACAGAGCATTTTCTCCCACCAAACTGATAGGTATTGTGTCAGGGCTGGTTGCATGTCTGCTGCTTCTCTTGGCCTTTTGAATTTAGGTAGTGATCCTCAGACTGAGTTTTTTTTAAAGGGGACTAGACAGGATCGTGGAAGATAAGACATCAGTGATGCTGAACTGTAGGCTGCACACTCTAAATACTGGTTGTTGGAAAGCAGCAGTGAAAAGGGACATCACCCTCCAGTCTAGTCTTGTGAGCTTCCCAAATATATATAGTTGGTACCAACAGAAGAGAAGTTGGCCAGTTGGCCATTGTGTGACACAGAGTATTTGTCTTGGTGTGATTACAGCCTGATCCATCTGGACTTTCCTTATATTCTTATGTCTAGTGAAGGTTTCAACGAATTTATTCAAAGATAGCCGTCCTTTTAAGAATTCAAATACTCAAAAATAATTGATAGCTTGAGAGAGATGAATAATAGGATGTTTATGTTTTCCTATTGAATGCTGTCTAAGGTGCCTACTTGGAATAGGAAAAGAATTAGGGTGTCACCCAAGCATCATTCAGTTTCAGCTGTGTATCCAAGGTATATATTCTGGGTTGATGAGAATGCTTGAGTGTGAGAAGTAGTATACAAATGCAACATTGGAAAATATATTGGTTTGCACTTTCTGCTTGCTGAATTTACCTTAACTTTCATAAAATCATTCCAGAACCATCCTTGAAGTCAATATTTGTGCATAGGTTTAGCCTAGAATAGCTAATCAGAGCCTGAAAACAAGAGCTACAAGGCAAGAAAGAATTCCAAAGTTGCTTTCTAAAGACTCACTTGGATTTCCTGAATATATCTTCTTTCCATGTTTATTGTGACTCACGAATGAAGACCAATATACATGTCCCAGGATAATGTTGCAGGATCCAATCTGGGTTGGCCACCAGGACCAGAGGTTTACTCTTCCGAGCTTTTGGACTCGTCCTGGAGCCCATCCTCTGGGAACTTCTCTCTAGCAAAATGGATGCTTTGGGCTATTCTATATGTGGTGTTACTCTTGTGACTCTGGAATTCCCTATCTCTCTGTTATGTTATGCAAATATTACCAATATCAATGAGCTATCATTATCTCACTTTGGTAAATTCTGTTCCTTCATTTCTCTTTAAAGTTTAACTAAAAATTCATAAACATGCAATTGAGAAGGATTTTGCAGAATTTCCCCCAAATTTCAGTTATCTGAGAATATGCTCTCTACTGGCAGGAAAAGTGAGAAATGGAGACTATATCACAAAGTTTAAATAACCAGCCTTGGGAATACTGAAGTGCATTGTGGGTTAAAAGAGAGAAAAATAGATTAAAAGGAAAAGAAGTAGAATATATTTTTTACACCTTTACTAATACTCAAGAATGTGGCAAATAACTATTTCACACAGAATGTGAAAAGGAAACAGTTGTTTGAGTCCCAGTGATTATTCTAATCATAAGGTGTTAACACATTTAGCAGTTTAGATTTTGGATTGATCTTTTTCATCCTATTAAGTGATACTACACCTTCTTTCTTTCTGCTGTTTCAGGCTTTTTCCTTCAGGTTTCTTCTTTATTTTCCTTCCTTATCATGTAGCACAAGCTCCCCCCAGTCTGATGTAACTGGGGAATCGTAGTGCAATATCTCTGGGAGGCGCAAAGTTGAGGAAGGCTGATAAGAATAGAATAATACATTATACAGAGTGTACCATTAACTCTAGGCATCCTTCCTGGCTATCAGTAATGGTAAAAGCAGACTAATATAGGTAAATATGAAGACGTTTTCAAAAGATCTTCCTAAGTGCAAAAGGAAAAATTCCCCAAAGGTTACTCTTGAAATTGCCAAGAATATTTGTGAAAAATGTTCAGTACATTTGGCTCCAATTTTACAAAGTGTGAATTCTGTATATTAATAGCTTACTCATTCTCTAAAAGCTTAACCTTGTGCACTCAGAACAGCACCTTTCAGGCAGAAAAAATAGTAGGAAAACTTCCAGAAATGCAAAATACTTGACCTAAATGTAGTCATGCTGATTATTGTAGGAACAGACAGAGAAGCTAGGAAATGGGAACCAAAAAGGGTATAGAAATATATGGCATCTCCTGGAAACAGATGCCCATCTGGAACATTGAATAGGGGCAAATTGTCACAGGTCCGACATATATTTCCTGCTTCTTTTCTTTCAGGTGAATAACTTTGACATCAGTAACGTGTCTCACAACCATGCCAGGGCCATCCTTTCCCAGCCCTGTACATCGCTGCATCTCACGGTCCTCCGAGAGAGACGATTTGTAAGCCGAACACACAATCATAGTGATAGCCCTCCCCAGCGAGACGATAGCTTCCATCTGACCTTGCACAAGCGAGACTCCAGTGAACAGCTTGGCATTAAGCTGGTGCGCAGGACAGATGAGCCAGGAGTATTTATTCTTGACCTTCTGGAAGGGGGGTTGGCTGCTCAGGATGGCCGACTCTGTAGCAATGACAAGGTGTTGGCTATCAATGGGCATGACCTGAAGCACGGCACACCTGAACTGGCTGCTCATATTATTCAGGTAAAGTCCTGTGGCGGAGGATTCACTCCCTTTTGTGTACTGTGCTTTTCCCAAGCTGGACCATGGTGGTTGGGAATAGTGGGGTTTCTTGCCTTAATATACCTACAAGTTGTCAGATTAAGGAAGACCAGCCTTCTAAAAAACATGGATGTTGATGCCCTAAGTTGCACTCCAGTGAAACCTTACTAACAGATGCATAAATAGATGAACACTCTATACTGAATGATTATTAGAGAGATCTCCCCTACAAGAATAAATAGGGTGGTGTAGCATTGCAGATTCAGGGGGGAGAAGGTGTGTCAGAAGGCATATGGCATGTAGCACCTGCCAGCAACTCCTTAAAGTTGTGTTTTCAGTGCTCAAGAAACAACCCTATTAACTATATAGCACTGTTTTCTAAGACCTTCCCCCCCCCCACTTTTCCCCTACAGGGTAAAGTTGAGGAGCTTTTTGTGGGCCACTTGAAACTAGTCATGAAACAATACCCTGGCATCCCCTTGGCTTCTTCTGCTCAGCCATTGGGGTTTAGATTCAGTGGATGAGTAAACGTTACTTGATATGTTTTTCCGTTTCTCGCTAATTTAATTTCTGAGATAGCAACCAGCAAGAGCTCTGTTTGAGCACCCAGAGCTGAGGATAGTGAAATCGGGTGTTGGCAAAGTGACTGATCTAATCCTCTGCCGTGCCAGAAGATGGATTGTTTTATTAGGTGGTGAAAATAGAGTATAACCAGTATTAGGTCCTCAGGGAAAGTGTTGATTTCCTTCATATGTACAATGTAGTCTTCATGGCTGCTTTTTGATTAGAAATCAGGTAGTCCTCGACTTATGTCCATAACCGGCCCCAGAATTTCCATCGTAAATTATGATGTCATAAGTTGAGGCACCCGCATGACTGCACAAAGTTTATGAGTTTTTTTGCAGAAGTTGTTAAGTAAATGCTACAGTCGTTTAATGAATCTGTGTACTTCTATGGGCATGTATTCCCAGGAACCAAACAAAAACCGCCAGAAACCAGAAAAAAACATTGTGAATCATGGTCACATGACTGAGGGGTGTTGAATTAGCCATAAAGGTGAGCTGGTTGCCAAGCACCTGAAATGCAGTCATGTGACCATGGTGTGTGTGTGTGTGTGTGTGTGTGTGTGTGTGTGTGTGTGTGTGTGTGTGTCGTGCAGCTAATGGAATTCCAGAACTGGTCTTAAATGGCTTTTGGTGGGTTTGTTGTAACTTCAAACAGTAGCTAAGTTTAACAAAGACTACCTGTATTTTGACTATTCTTTGCTCTCTGAGGTAGCCAGTATTTATGCCCCAATCCTCTATTCATGTTTCATGTGAATCTGCAGGCCAGTGGCGAGAGGGTGAACTTAACCATTTCAAGGCCTACAAAGTCCCAAATTATAAGCATTCTCAGAGATGGGGGAACACATCTCACCAGCCATCATCAATCCTATCAACTGTATCACAGCAACAGGCCAAGCCCACATAAAGTAAGTTTGGGAATGGACAAGTTATTATTTAAATTTATATTCTAATGTAAATTTACCTCTGTATTTCCTAAAAACAAATAAATGAATTGAAATGCATTCAGTGCATTTCAGTGTTTATATTTTTACTGAATTCTTAATACAGTTTTCCAGTTAACTAGGTACTGAAATCCATATGGGAGGGAATATCCATACAAAATTTAATGTATGAATGAAAATAATATATAAAAAGTAATGTATTAGGGAACTGTTTTTTTTTTAAAAAAATGCAGGTATTAAGCAAACCAATATATAAAATATGTATACTAAAGGGAAATGTATACTAGGACATGAAAAAAAATTATGTGTACTCCTTTTAAGAAATTGAAAACTAAAATGGAATGAACCCAAAATTGGGAAATTAAGGAGAAAAAAAATGAAAAAACAGAAGTTACCCCTTACCTCTATAGTGTTGATTGCTGTTAAGATTAAACATGTTGTATGGTTGGATGTCTAGGAAGTTGGAAAAATGCACCCTCTGCTGGATAGCATAGCTATTCCCACAGTCATCTGTTAATCTTTATGATTGAAAATATTCTCCTCTAAAAAAGGACAGGCACTTAAAATATCCCAGCAGAACAAACAGGAATGTGCCACCTCCCATTACATAATTTCTCAACTTGAAAATGTACATTCAGATCCAAAAGGATATGAGCCTAAGTACTACCTCCAAATACACACACATATTCTCCCTTCCCAAAATTGGATATATTGTATTGTTATGCAATCCAAACAGAAAAAAAAAAGATTTTTAGATCATAGAGAGTGATTAGGGAGAATACCAATATTTTGTATTTGTAAGAAGATTTGTGGATGGGCATTTAAGTCTTTGGGGGGGAAATGACTGTCTTTTAAATGGTTATGAGAGGCTTTTAATGAAAGATCTGTCAGTATCACTGTGGCAGTAGTTTACTTGTAAAATGTTTTTAAAGAAATCCATTTGCATTGATATACTCAACTTTAATAACAGTTGTGTGGTGAACAACTCTAATATATCCAGTTTTTAAACTATTATCCTTAATGTATTCCTTTAGGTATGAAATATATTTTAAAATGCAGTCTCCCATAGTGCATACTTTTTGTAAGCATATTTAAATAATTAAAAATTGTTGAACTATAGTTAATGGATGCTGGCAAAGTATTTGTTCCACATCAGCATCTGTATGTGCAGATAATTTGACTCCCCTCCTTCAGATTTAACCCAAGTGAAATGTAAACTCTTATTCTTTTTTGTAGGACCTCTCACAATGTGTGACTTGTCAAGAGAAGCACATCACAGTGAAGAAAGAGCCCCATGAGTCCCTTGGCATGACAGTAGCAGGAGGTCGAGGCAGCAAAAGTGGGGAATTGCCAATATTTGTTACAAGTGTACAACCTCACGGCTGTCTTGCAAGAGATGGCAGGATCAAAAGAGGTAAAATTGGAAGGCAGTATTGAGCCAGTCTGTTGGAAGGAAGGAAGGAAGGAAGGAAGGAAGGAAGGAAGGAAGGAAGGAAGGAAGGAAGGAAGGAAGGAAGGAAGGAAGGACTGCCCCTTTTCAGCATACCAGGCTGATTGAAAAATGCTGGTTTACAGGAGTCGCTGAAATTGAAGCCTAGAAATAGCAGACATTATAGTTCTGTCAGGCATGACGCAAGCTACCACATGTCCCCTGCATTTGTACATACATGACATCCTGTTGTTAGATAACCACAGAAAATAACAACTTAGTGGGGTGCATTTGCAATGGAATATCATCTCAACAGGATCTCTTGTTTGTTTTTATCCAGGTGATGTGTTGATGAATATTAATGGCATTGATCTGACCAATCTGAGTCACAGTGAGGCTGTGGCTATGCTCAAAGCCAGTGCTGCTTCCTCGGTCGTTGCTCTGAAGGCTCTAGAGGTCCAGATTGCAGAAGAACAGCCCCAAGCAAATGATGAGCAGCCGAGCACCATTAGTGAGAATGAATATGATGCTAGCTGGTCGCCATCTTGGGTCATGTGGTTAGGACTTCCAAGGTATGAGTAATTTCATCTTCCTCCTCTCTATAGCTTCTGCATTTTTTTTCTGAGCCGGATTGAAGAATCAAGCTGTCTTCTGTGCTCAGCCTTAGAAGCTCTTTGTAAGTCCTGTGTATGCCATTCTCTTACAGTATAGTGCCGTGATGGCGAACCTTTTAGAGACCGAGTGCCCAAACTGCAACCCAAAACCTACTTATGCATCGTCAGGTGCCGGGTGGGTATGGCCCATTGGGTGGGTGTGGCCCATTGGGTGGGTGTGGCCCATTGGGTGGGTGTGGCCCATTGGGTGGGCGTGGCTGCGGTGATAACGGCAGACTGGGTGGGACTAAAAAGTTCAATCAGTCAATTCCAACTTTGCAAGATCTTTTTTTTCCCACGAGAAGTTGAAATTGACTGATTGATTGGACCTTTTTTTTTTTTTTTTTTGCACACCGCGGCGGAGGCCTTGGACTAGGGCGATGGCGCACGTGCCCACAGAGAGGGTTCTGAGTGCCACCTCTGGCACCCGTACCATAGGTTTGCCACCACTGGTATAGTGTGTTAAAAATAGAAGACATTATTGTAATTTTTAATAATGTTTCTATAAAGGTAAGTGATTTGTAGAGTGGTACTCTTTTTAGCATTTCTCTCACAATATCAGGATTAACCCATAGTTTCTTTGTGAAAACCAAAACCAACAAAACAAAGAAGCAGGCCCTGTTTGGTAAAAAAGGAGTCCATTTTAAAAGGACCTATAAAAGTGATTTGTCATATATTTATTATTTGCTATTTTATGTTTTAAATGTATCTGCCCCCTTGACAACCTCAGGTTACTTTTCCCAAGGTTTTCCAAAAATTAGTTACTCTGTAAGCATCAGCATTCTTGATCTCATAGAACATTGACCCAGGTTGGGTATGAGGTCAGTTGACTTAATATTTTGCCTGGATATTTAAAAGGTGTGCCACACACTTCAGGGAAAGAAGAGTTTTTGTTTAGAAATGTATCTTACTGAGTAATTACTGTATTAATTATTTAAAAAATATTAATTCATTGTATACAGGCAAGCCTGAAAGAGCTACTATAGATTTGTTAGAGGTCTAACGGATTTGTTTAATAGATTTTACAACTCCTTGCCTTTTTTTCCACAGCTGCCTACACAGTTACCATGATGTTGTATTAAGAAGGAGCAATCTAGCCAGCTGGGGATTTAGCATTGTTGGTGGCTACGAGGAAAATCACACAAACCAGCCTTTTTTCATTAAAACAATTGTTCTAGGAACACCAGCATATTTTGATGGAAGACTCAAGTAAGGCTTCTTTTTTGTTTTTTATCAATTTTATCAAGATAAGGAAGTCATCAGGGCTTACAGTTGATACTGCAGATTCATTCTCAAGTCCACTGTTTCTTAATCTTGGTAGCGTTAAGATGTATGGACTTCAACTTCCCAAATCCTGGGAATTGAAGTTCACACATCTTAAAGTTGCCACGGTTGAGAAACAGTACTCAAGACAATATGAAATGTGTGTACTTTGCGTATGAGAAGTAGTTCTTTGTAAAGTACAGATCCTGCACTGAGCAGGGAGTTTGATTTACAGTGTTCTCAAATTAGTCTTCTATTTACAACTGGCATTAATAGTCATTCAAAGCTACTTATGACTGCTGCCCCCTCTTGCAGTCACATAATCACAATTGGGCTGGTTGGCAACTTGTTTGCATGTACAACCAGTTGCGGTGTTCCATGGCCTTGTGACCATGAGTTGGGACTATTTTGCTGTTTTTCAGCAGAAAGGGAAGGTTGGAAACAGGACAGAAGTTGTCTACCTGGTTGAGTTCCATAATGGCTTTTTTTTTTTTTAGAAGGGAATGAATCAGTTCCTCCTTCAAAACTGGCAGGACCACTCCTTCATTCCCATTGCCAGATCCTAACTGCATGTCACCTTCTGGGAGGAACAGGGATCCTAGTGTAAAGTTCTAAGAACCCTGTACACCAGTGGTTCTCAACCTGTGGGTCGGGACCCCATTTGGGGTCGAACGACCATTTCACAGGGGTCGCCAAACAATGCAGTCCACCATTTTTTTCCCCTTGTCCTTAGCTGTGCTACTCCCTTTTATTCTATTGGCTTTTGAAAGCCAATAGAATAGACTCTCTTGAATAGAGTCTAATTCTATTGGCTTTCAAAAGCCAATAGGAATTGTCCAGGCTGTCTCTGCCCTGCTGAGCCCGCCAAAAGTCCCATTCTGCAAACGGTGCTGCACCAGTTGAGTAATCCTCAACTTACGACCGGTTGAGTAGTCCTCGACTTACGACTGGTTGGGGGGTCGCGGCATTAAAAAGGTTGAGAACCACTGCTATACACGAACAGGATCAAATTCCTCCCAGATAACCAAACCAGACTGAGCCTCATTTACCTTCATGGCACCTGCTTCAAGGCTAGAGTTCAACTTTTAGCAAATACTTTAACTAACAAATACTTGGTAAATTCTTCACAGCAATCTTGCTGGTGAACATCTGACTCCAACTTCCCCAGGAGGATCTGGATCATTTTTCCAATTTGATGTCCTTCAAATTCTGCCACAAACCAACAAATCCATTGCCCACCAAATCACTCCACATTCCTTTTTTTTTTCACAATTTTAAATGCTAAGCTGAATGTTTTCTGCCTTTCCAGATATTTTCCATAGTTATGCTCTTTAGTGAAGCTACCATAAATTGTTCCATTAACTGAAGTGTTCTCAATTAATCAGGCAATAGAAATAAAAATTCAAAATTATTTGAATTTAATCGTTACTTTTTCAATCTGAATTACCAGCATAACTTTCAAAGAGACATACCCCTTTGTGGTAAGGACGGAGATTGCATTTGCTGTAGGATGTGTATTTAATGTAAAACAAAATGCTTTGGAATGATTCTTTTTTACAAGTATATATCAGTCAGTTAACATAACCATTGCAACTAAAATGGTGTCATGTCTAGTTTTGCATTATATCTAAACAGAGGCATCTAAGAATTGGTTGTTCAAACTCAGAGAAGTCATTTCCTGCAGTATGTGGGTTGTGCAACTTACTAATCCTCATTTGTTTCTCTCCGTAGATGTGGTGATATGATTGTTGCTGTCAATGGACTTTCAACCATGGGTATGAGCCATTCAGCGCTGGTTCCTATGTTGAAGGAACAAAGAAATAAAGTAACATTGACTGTTATCTGCTGGCCAGGAAGTCTTGTATAACATGCAAAGAACATATATACATTGGTTGAAGCAGCTTTTTTTTTTTTAATAGCTGGCTCGACTTTTTCAGGCAAAGCTGTTTTTTTTCCCTTCTTTTCTACTAATGCAGCTGGTAATAAGCTGGGCCAAAAATCGCTACCTTCATATCTGACAAATATGTGTGAACAGGATGTGTGTGGGAAAGGAAGATTTTTAACTGTACTGTGTTGTTCTTCCCATCCTAAAGTAGCCGTTTCTATCAAGTTTTCTTTATTATTATTTTATTTTCCATCATTATGTCATTGCAGTATCCATGTGCATACACTTCAGTTTCTTGGTTGGCTTAAGGAGGTCAACTATTCCAGTAATTGTAGTGGGGGCAGGATTGTACCTAGCCTAGGTGCCAACATGCTGGCATGTTAGCTATCTGCTAGATTGATCTCTGCATTGTTAAATACTGATGTATAACCTAAAGACAGTAGGTTAACAATTGACATGTAAAGCCTCCTACACAAGAGATGGTTATTTTGTAAGGTGCTTTCTATTTAAGTTTTCAGCTTTGTTCACGGAAGGCACATCTGAAACCATCTTTTTCAATTGTTAAAATGTGTTGCTGCATTAACATTTAGTAGATTAACTTCTACATATTTTTACTACATTTCAGTATGATTCTGTTTATATGAGAGCCTGAGCAATTCTTTGTGCTATGGCTGCCACATAGAAGCTGCAGGAAGTAGCTCCATGTAGCACATGCTCCATGTAATAATCTTAACCCATAAGAAGGCCCACTGCCCCAAGGATACAGTTGGTATTCTAATTCTATCATCAAATGCATTGGAGAGCAGGGAGTGGTGGAAAGAAAGAAAATGGTTATTGGCCATTGTCCAACAAAAGTATTTATGGCATCATAATTATAGTGTACCAATTTGTCCCTGGCTACATGTAATCAGCAAGCTCATGTTTCATGTGAAGCATGGCAGTAGCTTGTAAGAATCCCCTCCACGTGATTCCCTTGTAGCATAAATAGTTGCCCGAAGGCTGAAACTGCATCAGTATTATTATCTAAGGCATGCACTGATGCATGACCAACCTATGAAAGCAGCATCAGATGCAGAGCAGTGCACATTCTATTGCATATTATGTGCTTTTTACAAGCAGGTATCTTTTGTGATAATTCCAAATCCTGTAATCTAAATAAATTATGAGAACTTGCCATTATGTCTGCATTTTCTGTTTTGCATAATTTATTCCTCCATTAAGTCTTCATTGTGTATTTTGCATCATCATTGAACAAGGCATAGGTACAATAGAACTTTTTGCCACAAGAAGCTTGGCTCACCCATTCCTTGACTTTCAAGATTCATAAAATAATAGGGCAGGAAGGGAACTTGGAGGTCTTCTAGGCTATCTAAAATGAATATTGTTTGAGACCCTCTAGAGATGGAGCGCTCATAACTCCAAGAATCAGGCTGTTCCACTGCTTGATAGCTGTCACAATTAGGATATTCTTCCTAATTTTAAATTTGGATCTCTCTTTGTGACGCTTCCACCTGTTAGTTCTTGTCTCAGGCACTATGAGGAATAAATGTACATCTTCTTCCCTGTGTTAGGTCTTCTGGCATTATAAATTTTTGTGTCTCCCCTTAGCCTTATCTTCTTTAGGATAAACATCCCCTGCCCTTTTAATTGTTCTTGATAGGATCTAATTGCCAAACCCCTCTTCATCTCTTGTTCTTCTCTGCCTTCTTTCCAATTCCTGTACTGTGTCTGCCAAATGCATTAGTCATACGTAATCTGGTCAGGCCAGCACATAGTGTCATTTCCTACAATCTCAAGATTATACCTTTGTTGGCATAGCCTAAGGTTGCAATGGCTCTTTGGGCAGTTGCAGCGCATTGCTGGCTCTTGCTTAATCTGTGGTTTATCAGGACACCAAGACATCCTTCTCACCAATACTACTTTCAAAACAAATACCACCTGCATTGTACTTGTGCATCTGGTTTTTTTTCCTCCTTAACTGCAAAACCTTACATTTCTGGCCATTGAACTGAATTTCATTGAAAGGTCTCAATATACAAATCTATCATGATCCTTTGAACTTTGAGCTGGTCTTCTAATGTATTACCAATCTCTCCTCTTAGCTTTTTGTCATCTGCAAATCTGCTTAGCATCCTTTCTATAGCTTTCTCAATCATTTATAATAATGCTGAAGAACATTGGGTCTAGATTAGAATTCTGAAGTACCAGCTCCCCTTGATCTGCTAAGGAAGATTAATAGGGTACTATTCAACCAACAGTGAATCCATCTGATACTGGAATCATCCATTCCAGAACGATTCTAGTTTATATAAAAGGAAGCTATGGTCAACTTTATCAGACCGGGGAGCATTGAACTAAATATATTTCTTCAACTAAAAGATCTAGATTTTTTTAAAGTAAAAGATTATAGTGATAAGTGAAAGTGAAGGACAGAGTGTACAATGACTCTTCATGAAATATATACAATTTTTAGAGTAGATACAATATAAATTCTTTCAAAAAAGTGATGCTTTATGAAAATCTGCCATCTCTATATATAACTTTAATTGCCTATTACAGTTCTTGGAAAACGGTCATCTACATCCTGCCAGTTTTCTCTTTCACAAAAGAGATTTAATAGCAGAAATCTAGCTAATTAAGGTACATGTTTTTGAAGACTTCATAGTCCATTTCAAAAAGGCAAAAAGATGTCTGTGCATCTCAAAATTGTTAATCCCTACAAAATTTATTTGAACTTCTTTTCATCCCGACTGTGTTCACTGAGTAGGACCAAAGCCTACCTTTAAAAAAAAAAAAATGAACTGCAATAATTGGATTATTTTTTAGAATATTTCGTGTGTAAAGGGGGTTGTACCCTTCAATAAAATGTAATGTGGGTATGATAACAGTGCTGGCAACAGTAACAAAAATTAATTGGAGGTGACATTAGTTTGATCTGCAATATTAACATGCATTGATAATTGCTGTCCAAAGTGAATGTTTTGCTATGTAAAAAAATGTTTTTCTAAAAACCATTTTTACACTTTATACTGCAGCTAATTGTAGCTTTCTGGTGTGTCTTATATGCAAAAGCTGAGAAATAATTTAGAAAAGGGAAAAACTATTACTAGGAGTGCTATGTTGTAATTTCAGGAAGTCTAAAGAGGAGAAAGAACCCAATACCCATGACTGGGAGAAAGAATAGTATCCCCCCCCCATTATTTTGTCTCCTGATAAAAGCCCAGATGCCTTTACCTAAAATGCTGAAACAACCTATGTTGTTTATGGAGTAGTTTCCTTAATTATTTACCTTCTTTGAGCTGAGAACAGCTAGTTTATTTTATACAGAGATTCACACTTACATTCTCTAAGACAAACCTTTACCATAGGTAGATCTCAGTTTGAGAGCATGGACATCCTTTTGTAAAGCACTCAGTGTTGGCTTTCAAATGAATCCAGATTTCCTCTGCAAAAGTCACTTGGCCTACTTGAAAACTGTCTAATTTATAATGGTTAAGTACGTTTAGAATTATCTGTGTATTATAATGCTAATATTATTTATCTGAGAATGTATTTTACCCTCACATCTATCTAATATGGGCATGCGTTTTTCCTGCCTCTCTTCACTCCCATAGTTGAAACATTCTAATATGGAATAATATGGCATGTCTTTTTGAGTTCTTTGCTCTAAAGAAAGCGGTAAGACTTTGATTTAAAAAAACAAACAAACACCAACACAACAAATACGATTTTGTTTCTCTCCTGTGCAGTGCAAGATTTTTTGCTTTCACACTGTAGATCAGGGGTCTTCAAACTTGGTCCTTTTATGACTTGTGGACTTCAACTCCCAGAATTCCTCAGCCAGCTTGCTGGCTGAGGAATTCTGGGAGTTGAAGTCCACAAGTCATAAAAGGGCCAAGTTTGAAGACCCCTGATCTAGATCCATACAGTATTACCCAGTCAGAACTGCAGTGAAAGTTCCCATTTGTACACAAACCAAAGTCCAAAGAACTTCCTGGGGTTGCATAAGGAATGTTGTATCTTCATGAATTTTTTCTAACTGTCTCTGAGGCTATTTTGCATGTGCTTTTGGAATTCTCTGTTTCAAAAGCAGTTGATGTGATGCATAAGAGGAGGTACTACTATTGCAAAACTTTTCACGTTCTAGTAGGTTACTGCTAGTATGTATGTAGGCTTCCGTATGTGCTGTAATAAAATGGCCTGCCTTTGTGAAGAATCCCACTGTGAAATTCCTTGAAGATGGGATACACTTCAGGACTCAGCAGCCACAACAGTCAGGATTGTGGGGAGAGAAATATGGCTGTGGCTAAGAGGATATCGCTGTAAAATAAAGAGCTGGCATGATGAGGTCAGTGTTGTGCCACCATTATGGGTATATTCAAGATGCAAAGATTGAGGGTTAAGCCTTAACATTTGTTCAATAATAAGCAAGAGCAGGTTAACTATTTTCCCTTCCTTTAGTGAATGATGGGATATAACTTTTCAGTTTTAACTTTGTAAACAAAGCTCTGCATTTTATTGCAAGTTAGCCTAAAGGCTAATGAGGAACATAGTTGTCCTGTATTCACCATATGCCATTTGAAATTAGGCCATTGCACTGAATGCTAAGGTAAAACCATCATCTCATATAGTGGCAAAGAGTACCATAGACTCTGTCCTAGGGTTTTGTACTATCAATTACCATCTCTATTAATGGAAACTGGTACCAGGTGGATTCTCTTATCCTTGCCCTATTTTTTGCTGACATGTTATTTCAATTTCCTTATTATTGTCATTTATATCATTGGGTTGGTTCTTCAGTGCCTTCTGTCTTAAACTATACCATACAGTGAAATCCAGTGTTGTGGTATTAACTGAAGGATAAGAGAAAAATAAAAATGAGTTTTCCTTTTGCTGTGGTGTATGGTCTTGATTTTTGTCTTTTATCTTATAATATTCTTCTATTCCTGGCAAGCCAAACCTACTTGAACTTTCCAGTGCATTTCAGTTCTACAACATAATCATGACTTAACTGAGCTTCCTGCTACTATGAATATGTATGTTTTATCTATCTTTTTATTATATACATTGGCTTATATTCTCACAAACCAGTGAATTGAAGAAATCCCATTGTTGCTCTCCTATCTCTTCTTGCCTGGAAGAAATCCATCATATGGAGTACCAATATGGGCAGCATACTTTACTACAGGAACAGTTAATTGAACTCCATAGCTCAGCTCCAGTGAATAGGATATGCTTCTTGATTGAAACACTCTGTTCCTGGAGGTGGTATATTAAATTCCATAAGTCCACTTTGGCATTACATGCTGGGAGGCATAAAGCACCCTCAGAATCCAACAGTTTTATGTCTACTTAATGTTTGTGCATCACCTACTCACAGGTTAATTATCCAAGTTCTCATCCCCATTTAAAAGCAACCCATGTACTGTATGAGAGCATCTTTCTTTTCTTTTGAAATTAATATATGACCTAAACAGCTCAACTTGACTCTTGTTCACATGATGGTGATGCGATTGTTTCCTTGGTCCATAATGTCAGCAATCTTATTTCTCTCTGTGTTCCGCAGTATCTAGTGTTTCCAAAACTGGCTACACACCAATGGCTTGGTTTTTATCAAATTCCTCTTTCATAGGGCACTCTGGCTTTCATCATCATTGGAAAATTTGTGGCTCAGATGACGGGCATGAAGAGGGAATGCATTTTAAGAAGAGGGTAGAAATAATACCAGTGCTTCAAACTTTTGACCGGGCACTGTATCAATAGCACATAGCACATTCAGTTAGCCATACAGAGTAGTAATGATCAATGGTTAGCAATAGCAATGGACGCAGTTTGGTCTAGTGGTTAAAGCATCAGGCTAGAAAGCCAGAGACCAAGAACTTTACTCCCACCTTAGCCACGGAAGCCAGCTGGGTGACCGAGGGCTAATCACTTACTCTTTCGTCCCAACTCATCTCACAGAGTGGTTGCTATGGGGAAAATAGAAAGAGGAAGTTGTGTCCTTTATTGATTTGACTTAGATTCTTCCTACTCTGCAAGTCCTCGAGATAGCTGACAATATATTTAAAACATGGGTTACAATTAATATGATCTGTACTAACATTGTTCTATCACAAATGTCTGTTCATTGCATGTCACAGATGTTTTCATCTATCCTGCATAGATCTCCCTTGCAC